ACCTCCTTTTGGATCGATTTATTACACACTTTTAAGCGGCATTGTTACTTTAAAATTCAAGTTACACAAGTCACAGTCCATGTGGAAAATGTATAACTGCTGTATACCTTCAGACTCGTCGATCATATCGACTCCAAGAGATTCCAGGATCTGGGCCTCGGCAAAATGACCAATCCTCGACTTCGCCATGACAGGAATAGTTACGGCAGCAATGATTTCTTTGATTAACTACAACATAAATAATCATACTCAGAGTAAATGACGACGAAAATCTTTCTACGTTCTCTACCTTGATGAAAATACAAACGGGAAAGGATCAAAGGAATTATTTCAAATATGAGAGAAAAGAAGGTAAGAATGTATATAAGGAATCGCTGTCTAGTTAATATAGTATGCCAGGGCATCAACGATAATGGGAAACATGGGATAATTTGCATTGTGAAATAAAATTGTTGATTTAGATTTTTAAAATGTGGACATAGATTTAAATTACACGAGGACTCCCATGCCAAACTCAATAGACCTCGCCCACTGACGTCAAACACAAGGGCAGCCGCACGAGATTTACATGCATATTTGACCCCCTACGCGTCAGACACAGAGACAGATGAGCATGAGATTTGCATGCACACTAGGCCTCCATAGCTTCTGATCTATGGGTGTTGCTAAAACGCGGAACGCAAAGCGGAACGGAACGGAAAACGGAAAGTTTTAGTCAAACAAATAAAATAGATTCGATATAAATCAAATAAAAAAAAGCAAATTTCTTGTTGTAAAAGTCATTTCTAATAAAAATTTATTGTAAACTGTCATATATTCTTGAGTCATGCATACCCTCCGTGGAAAAAATGGTACCGAAGGAAATTCGAACCCCCCCCACCCCCAACCCACACACACACACACACACGAAATAGGATTTTCGTGTTTGGGCAAAGGACATATGCCCTTTTTTTGCTTGTCAAATCTGTTGTATATTGGAAATTTTTTACTGCCCCCCCCCCCTCTTTCAATTTTTTTCCAATGTATTGTATATTGTTTAACGTCCCTCTCGAGAAATTTTCACTCATATGGAGACGTCACCGTATGCCGGTGAATGGCTTTAGATTAAGACGTATACTCGGCACTCAGAGCCATTGAGTGAGGGTTCTTTATCGTGGCAGAGCCTACCGTGACACGGGACCTACGTTTTTAAGGCCATATTTTAGTGCCTAGCGCTTGGAGAAGGAACAGTCAGTACCTTTGTTTACGTCTTAGGTATGACGCGGCGCCGCGAACGAGAATCGAACCCGGGCCTCCCGATCACGAAGCGAAGGCTCTACCACTAGGCTACCGTGACTGGTTTTTTTCCAATGTCAATGTCTGTAAAGACAAAAATAACTACATGTAGTTATGATATTCAGATTATGCACGCAGAGTCGAATTCACGAATCATGAAAGGGGGAGGCAGTTTCGGGTCTGTGTAGGGGCCCACAGCCACATTAAAAATTGATTTATTAAACCTTATTTTGGACACAAAAAGGGGGCAGACCTATTGCAACTTTTCAGACCTTTCCGATGAGGGGAAAACAAACTCATTTTTTACGGGGTCATTCATATACACCCCCCCCCCCTAAACATACACGCATATGTACCACAAACAAACAAAATTTAACTTCACTGAATGCAAGATTCTGCATTATATCTACCACATGAAAGTTTTCCAACATGTCTATCAAGAATTTAATATATAGAAAGCGACTCTATTTTGAATAAAACTTTAACAACCAGTGTGTATAGGAGATGTTTATTTGAGCTTGCCGTAAAGGTTTGCCCTATACCTACTCTTACTATTTTTTTTTTTTACATTTTATTTCTCTTTCCTTGGTTCATCTAACTATCAAATATTTGCCCCCCCCCCAGTCATAACCGTTTTACTACGGAATTGTTCGTTCAAGTTGACATCCTTACACTTTTTGTGAATGTAATAAAAATGTAATAAAATAGTAGTTAGTGTAAAAAATAGTATTGAAAGATGTTGGAGTTGGAACTTATTCCCCCTCCCGAATCAAACAATTGTCTTCTTTTTGTGTTTTTGCTTGATCAATACTTTTCAAGTTCGTTTATCTCCCCCCCCCCTTCATATTCGATTCTAGGTGACTGCTTTGTTAGCGATTTTCGTAAATAAGAGACTGAGCATGACAAAATCAACTTGTATTTAATAGTGGGGGATTGAATATGTACAAGATATATCGTTTATGATAAAATTTGTGTATTTTAAGTGATTTAATCCAAAATAATATATTCCGTTTTCCATTCCGTTTTCTGTTCCGCGTTTTAGCAACACCCCTGATCTATCGACCTTCCTAATTTACATTCCTGTAGAATTATCAAGAAACCAACTCCTCTACCTTTCAAAAAGTTATCACAGAAAATATTGGAACTGGTAATCTATCATTTTATTAGATACAATTTACAAATTCAGATCTAGTTTCTGACAGTATAAACACATTGACAATTCTCTGATTAAAGATAAAAGAAGGAAGAAAGCTGTAATTGAATCAAGCTAATTAAAATTAGATCTTTGATCCGCTCCAGTTTGATCGCTACACAAAGCTTTGTGTAGCGATCAAACTGGAGTGGATCAAAGATCTAATTTTAATTAGATTGTAATTAAATGAGACACTTATTATGAGTTAACATGAATTGTCAATAGATAATTTTGCGTGTAATGATCCATCAGTTGTACAGAATAACCATATATATTTAGAGTCTTTTCCAGCGACATCAGCACCATTGCCAAAGAAGAAGTAAAAAAGTGGGCATACACAACGCTGCAGGAAGAAAAAAAAATGATTGAATTACCTTGGGATCTGTCATCCGGGCAACTCCTCCTTGACGGCGAATATCAGCTGGAACTCTTTCTAAAGCCATCACAGCGCACGCCTACGTGTTAATAAATTAATTATTACATTATATTTCTCATCTTAAATACTATTTTCAAATGAAACGTTCGTCTGAAAATATGAATTGTAAATCGATGTATCACTATAACTATAAGTACATGAATATGAATACCTGACTGGATTTATCTTATTAAAAGGATTACTTTTGACAATCATCATAACATTACCCCCGCCTCCTCGGCGATGCGTGCTTCCGCCGCGGTCGTGACGTCCATAATAATCCCTCCCTTTGCCATCTGAGCAAGTCCAGCTTTGACCTTGAAAGTACCTGTAGAAAATACCAGGCTAGTTATAGAGTCTCTTTGTATGATTCTGAGCATAAAGATCTACCAGGCTAGCTAGGGAATTTTTTCGAATGATTCTGAACATTTAGATCTGAACGTACAAAGTACATGTATGAACGGGACTAGATATACCTGTACAGTGTATATTCCCCTTCCATTCAACAAAAACAGGAAAAGACACATACATTGAGATCAATAAATAAAAAATAGATAAAAATATTAATACAATAAAAATAAGGACTAAAAGATTTTCATAATTATGTGCATAAGATTTGACTAATCTGGTAAGGATTATGAATGAATAAAAGTGGTTCCTTTCATAGTAATTGCCTCGAAATTTTTTTTTCCAAATTAATGTTCTCCAAATAAAACGCATCTTATTTTCATTTTTATGCGCCTAGATCGATAGATCCGGACGAGTGTTTTTGTCCTGTCTGTTTGTTTGTCTCTCTGTCTGTGTGTTGTCAAATTGAACCTTCGCCATAACTTTTGAACCGTGAAAGATAGAGACTTCATATTTAGCACGCATACTCCACTGATTAATGTCTTTTAAATGACACCAAGGTCAATGACCTTGTGACCTTGACTGTGATCTGTATGCTAAAAATAGTTTTTTCGAACTTTCGCCATAACGTAGAAATCATAGAAGACAGAGATTTCTTATTTGGTATGCATACTCAACTAATTTTCAAATGATACCAAGTCCAAATACCTTTTAAGCTTGACTGTGACCTATATGCTAAAAGTCGCTTTTTCTAACTTTATTGCCGCCGCGGGTGCATATGTTTCACAAACACATCTTGTTCCCCCTGATTTGCAGTTACACTTTAAGTCTAGGACATCCGAAATAATTTCTTCATTTGTCTATTATTTGGATTATGTTGTGTTTTTTTTTGGGGGGGGGGGGGATTATGGTATTACGTTTATTCACAAAGTCATTTTATGCGTCCGAGCACACTGCACATTAAAGATTTGAATTTAGAACATGAGAATTTTTCCACACACAGTAAAATTTAGAACATTACAAGACAATCAAAAAAGTATGAATTCATAAAATATACTTTTTGATATTCTAGGTAGCTGTATATTGCATGTACTGTTCATCTTTGATTCGCTGAAAAAAAGAAAATCGATCCTTTACCGTTATTTTTGTAATAATAAGCACATGAAGCACCCAAAAAGAAAATCCCGATGTTTTCAACACGTGCATACATGTATTATCATGACAAAGTTATCGTTACTTATGTATATATGTTGGTTCGTAGAAAAGTATATATGAAAGGCGTGTGTCTAGGATTTTTCGCCATAAATATATAAACACCTGCGTGCAATATTTTTAACCTTCTTCATACATGTACTTTAGTTTATTCATCAGATTGTTGCCTAAAATACGTGTATATTAAGTGGCCGTTTAACATACGTTGACCGACCTAAGTATCTCTCTTTACATTGTGTCACATAATTTAACTAATGACACTTTGTAAAACTGTCTCCCTATAGTGTCATCTGACTGAAACTTTTTAGCACTTCTCATATGTCTCTATTAATTTTCTGAGAGCTTCGACCTTGCAAAAATACTAAGAGTAATATCAAATACTACATTTGAACTATAAAAAGATAGTTTTTTTTTAATTTATATTAATTAAATTTATTTAAAAGCAATGTCATCATTACTTCGTATCTGTAGTATTCAAGCCATTTGTAGCTAGAAAGTCGGATGTGACCTAGGTCATTCCTCTCGTGTGACCCCGCGCTAGTGAGACAAACTCACATGGGTGTTGCTAAAACGCGGAACGGAAAGCGGAACGGAACGGAAAACGGAAAATTTTTGTCAAACAAATAACATAGATTCGATATAAATCAGATGAAAGAGCAATATTCTTGTTGTAAAAATAATTTCTGATTAAAATTTATTGTAAACTATTATATATTCATGAGTCATACACACCCTCCGTGGAAAAAATGATACTGAAAGAAATTCGACCCCCCCCCCCCCCCCCCACACACACACACGAAATAGGATTTTCGTGTTCGGGCAAAGGTCATATCCTCCCTTTTTTGGCTTGTCAAATTTGTTGTATGTTGGAAAATTTTTACTGACCCCCTCCTCCTCAATTTGTTTCCAATGTCAATGTCTGTGAACTAGTTATGATAATCAGATTATGCACGCAGTGTCGAATTCGCGAATCATGAAAGGGGGAGTGGCAGTTTCGGGTCTGTGAAGGGGCCCACAGTCACATTAAAATTTGATTTATTAAAACTTATGTATATTTTGGACACAAAAAGGGGGGCATACATATTACAACTTCTCAGACCTTTCCGATGAGCGGGAAAGCAAACTCATTTTTTACGGGGTCATTCATATACACCCCCCCCAAACATGCACACATATGTACTTCAAACAAACAAAATTTCACTTCATTGAATGCTAAGATTCCGCATTATATCTACAACATGAAAGTTTTCCAATTTTGTCTATCCATAATTTAAATATATAGAAATCGACTCTATTTTGAATATTTTTTTTTACAACCAGTGTGTATGATAGATGTTTATTCGAGCTTGCCGTAAAGGTTTGCCCCAAACGTAATCTTAAATAATTTTTTTTTACATTTTATTTCTCTTTTCATGGTTCATCTAGATATCAAATATTTGACCCCCACCCCCCTGTCATAACCTTTATACTATATTCAAGTTGACATCCTCACACTTTTTGTGAAATGTAATTATTCTAGTAAGTTAGAGTAAAAAAAAATAGCACTGAAAGATGTTGGAGTTGGAACTTATTCCCCCTCCCGAATCAAACAATTGTTTCTTTTCGTGTTTTTGCCTGTCAAATACTTTTCAAGTTCGTTTATCCCCCCTTTCAAATTCGATTCTAGGTGACTGCTATGTTAGCGATTTTCGTTAAAAAGAGACTGGGCATGACAAAATCAATTTGTATTTAATAGTGGGGGACTGAATATGTACAATATATATTGTGTAAATGATAAATTTTGTATTTTAAGTGATTTAATCCAAAATATTATTTTCCGTTTTCCGTTCCGTTCCGCTTTCCGTTCCGCTTTCCGTTCCGCGTTTTAGCAACACCCAACTCACATGACCTGAACTGTTCACGCGTTGCGATAAACAGAGGTGAGTAGTATTTTTCACACATTTTTTCCGTTTAATTAAAAGGTTGTTAGTATGACATTGTTCGAGATCTAGACAATTAGTACTATATATATTAATACGGTACAAAACCTATTAGGCTAGCAAATCTTGATTAAGGTCTTTTGCGTTTCTCACGAAAACGGTTCCGGATTTATTAATGATACGAATCATAATATACTGACCTATTTTTGAACTTTTGTGACATCCTATAACTTTACTAATAAATATCAGACTGACCTGTTTGTTGAACTTTTGTGACATCCTGTAACTTAAGGTTGGTGACGTCCAGTTCGCTTCCTGTAAAATTATATGATTGAAGTTACAAAAAATATAGTGTACCTCAAATCCTTTGTAATTTGTAAAATTTAAAATGCTCTGATAATGTTTGGTAATTGGCATCATTAACACATTCCAATCACAAAAATCTAGTCGGTGATGACAAACCAATGTGCTGAGCTTCATTTAATCAATATAATAAAAATTAGACTTTGTTTAACAAAAAGACGGATAATCATGATTTTGTTATAATAATTGAAGTCTTTCACAATTATGATAGTTAACAAAAAAACAAATAAATCTTTAATGGACTTACCACCATTCACGTTTCCGTTCATTGTGTAGTCCTAACAAGTTCGTTATCACTGCTGCGGTGTGCGTGAACTGTACTCGCGCCGAGCGTGAATGTAAACTAGACCCCCTGTCCGATATGGTTTATAGTTAACCTCGCACCTGACGATGTAGTAACCCCCAATCCCTGCCTTTTGTTGACTTTAACTGGACTAAACTTGTTTGAGTATGTGATTTTATAACACAGGATTAACTTATATAACTTATTCAGCCTCTCTGTGGTTGTATAAGTACTGTTTCTCGGTTTCGTAACTTATTTATTTATGCAGGAACAGTCTCTCCTGTGCCCTGCTAGTCTTTATCGCCTTCATTGTAAGTACATATATAATGCTACCTATATATCTGTTCACCCTTTGTTTTCCTTACAATTTAAAATCATTTAATTAAAGATTTATTGTTTACAACTTTTTTATTGATAAAGCTAGTTTGTATGTTCTTCGTTTTAGTAGTGTCCATGTCAGTATGATTTCTCACTTTTGAGATAATGTACATGTAGTTGACAGTATTACGCAGTGAGAAAAACCTAATCTGTTCACCTATATCCATAATTCATGTATGTCAAAATGGAAAATTATTTTGTCATTTAGGTCAGGTAAGAATTGTTTACTCGTGGTCCTGTGTACAACTCCATTTGGTTTAGACATCTTGGAAATTAAGTATTTAAAAGTTATATCTTATCGTATTTTTATCTTAAAACTTTACTTTTAGCCGGAGAGTGCTATGTGTCTTGTAAATTGTTTTTTTTTTCTTTCTTAAGTTGTTAGTGTATAGTAAAGTGTGTACTTGTACATTCTTTCTTAATTTCGAATTAGAAATTCATTCATTTAGATATATCCAAGTTTTCTTGTTGGAAACATGTAAGTCTATAATTTTTGTCTTTCGCATTTTCGGTAGCCTTTCGAGCCATTGTTGTGTTTTGAACAAATCTATGTCTGCAATGATTATGTGAAATAGTTCATGAAAAATTCATTCGGAAATACTATCTTTAAGGAAACAGATTAACTAACAGACATTGGAAATGCTCATCTTGCGTATGATAAACTGGGTACAGTGTAGATGACAAAAGAAACTTCATTTTTAAAATGTTTCTATACTTTCTTTTTGATAGCTTTGAACTTTTTAAGGGCGTTCGAACGGTTCAACCCATTTTCAGTGATACTTGTATTTTATTTTCGCATAAAAACTGGAGACTCTAAAGAGAGTCCGATATCCTCTCCTCCTCAGTGTATCTACACATTAACTTTTACTGAATTTAAGTTTACTGGATCAACGGCCTTCAGGTTAATGACCAGAGTGGGGGGTTATATTATACTATCATTTTCAAGCAAACAAATATGACCTAGGTGAGACTTCGAAAACGGAGAGCACTTGCTTGTCTAAAACCTTTCGTGTTGAAAATTTTCTTTACAGGGACATATTAGATTTTTATGCAAATAACCATGTTTTGTGGGGCTTTAAGCGAAAAAAAAGATTTTTAGGATAAAGTTGTTTGAAAGAAATTATTCTGCTAATTCTATTTTGATAACTAGAGATTGGTTTTGTCTTTAGGTTGAAAGTAGAATATTTGTAGCGCTTAGATATGACATAGAAAATTTAATGCAATTAAGTGTGCTGAATTGTGTATTTTTTAAACGACATTCACTTTCAAATCTTTCGTTCTTAGAATCAATTTTAATTGTATATTTAAGTACAGTACGTCGTGACACGTAAATAAACAGGGAATATATCCAATAAATAAAATTAGAATATTTAAATGCTCAAGTCTTCTCATCTTATTGTTTGAATATTGAAAATCGAAAATTATCAAACTTTTATTATATTTATTAAGGAAAAGAATAATGCCATCCAGTGTGGAGACCGAAGAAAGATCCATAAAAATCGGAATACTAGAAGTCCAAGGAGCCTTTCTTGAGCATAAAAATGCTCTTCTGAAGGCGAAGGAGCAAATAAAACTTCCGGTTCAGATTGAAACGTTTGAAGTCCGAAACCCTAGCCATGTGACTTCCGATCTCGACGGCATGATAATTCCAGGAGGCGAGAGCACAACAATTAGCCTCTTTCTAAAAAGAAACAATATGATTGAACCATTGCACGACTGGATACAGAACCGGAAACACGTGACATGGGGGACATGCGCGGGAATGATAATTCTTGCAAGACAGAATGAGAATCAGAAAATTGGTGGACAACCTATGGTAAGCGATATTTCTACCTTAATCACTATTTACGATACCGGTTGTACCTGCACTAAAGGAATTCGAAGTAATTATTTTATTTCTCCATAATCTGCTACCAGCACCCTTAATTTTTTAAATAAAAAAGTTGACTTACGGAATACTGCAACTTGTGGGGTACATGTATTATGAGACTGCGAGAGTTGCTTATCCCATTAGTATATGTCGCTAGTACCTTGATTTTTTTGACAAATTCCTTCATTTTCATTGTCTGAAACTTGAGAAATGTACTTTTTCAACTTAAATAGAAGTACATCTAACTTTTTTTTTTTAGCTAGATGTGATGGATACTGACGTCTCGAGGAATTACTTCGGCAGACAGGTGAACAGTTTTGAAGCGGAAGTGAATCTCAGTGACAGTTTTACACAGGTGTGTCCCGGTGATAAAACATATCACGGCGTGTTTATACGGGCACCTGCCGTGGTACAGACACTCTCACCTAAGGTGGAGGTGCTCGCTACCTTCACACAGAAGGAGAAAGCTGAGGACGTGATAGTGGCGGTACAACAGGAGAACATCATCGCCACGGCCTTCCACCCGGAACTGACGGAAGATGTCAGGTGGCACCAATTCTTTATAAAACGTCTGCTAGCAAACAAAACTGCGCCTTAAAACAAAGTCCGGTCAAAGAGTTATTCCTCTTTTATTGCTTCACCGTTAGGGCTTACATCCTTTTAAATAATGCCTGATTCTAAACCCTTTTAGAATCCAACCCTTTTTATTATACTCCTGCTCTGATGGAGAGGGGGGTACTGTTTCACCCTTGTGTGTCTGGCTGTGTAGTTGTGTGTCTGTCAGTACTACTTGAATTTTCTTGTCACAGTTTTCTCAGCAACTACTCATCGCAGATGCTTGACATTTTAACACAGTCTTTTTAGGCATGCCATATCATTATGATGGGATATATGAGAGCATGTATGTATTCATATCAGAGCAGGGGTATTACCAGTGAGCATCAAATTATAGTTTCTTTGTTTTTTTAAAAGTTGTTTTTATTTTTTATAAAAATCTTGAATTTTAACGGGGATGAGCTAGATATTTGGATGACAGTGATCATTTTATTTTATTGTGGATTGTGAGTTCTTTTGTCAAAATGACAGCCCTATTAAAAGTAAAACAAAATTTACTGCTCTTTTAGTATATATTTTCAATGTTCCCAAACAACTTATCAAGGCAAGTATTTTGTCAATGATAATTTACATGCACATGTATTGCTAAAACCAATGTGTGTAACCAGGTGAAAGTTTGGGGAGAAAAAGATACCTCCGTTTGTCCCCCATCACAACCATCCCTTTATTGAATTTGTAGCTTCTTCCCCACCAGCATGTAGAAGTAGTCATATAAATACATATATTTATGACTGGATTTCCATTGTGAAATGTGTACTTATCGATATTTGTGTCGGCCTCCCCTGTGGCCTGAAATGGTGATCAACAAGGTGTGTTAATAAAACACTGATGTTCCCGTATATATAAGTCAAACTCAGGGGTTAAGTTCAAGTGTTCAAAAATGTTGTTACAAAAAGAAAGGACTTATCTCGATGAATACACTTGTGAAATATGAAAGTTCAAGCACAAGCCGTTCAAAGTTTAAGGCCAAGGTCAAAGTTTTTAGAGGTCAAGGTCAAGCTCAGAGTGTCAAAATTTATGATACCCGGGGAAATTCTTGTCAAAAATACATGAAATAACTAGAGGTATTGTGGGCAATGAGCTCCCTAAATGATACCCCCGCCTCCCATATGGTTAATATGATGACAAGGTCCATGTTTTACTGTGGCCAGAAAACCCCCAAAGTATGTGTCGGATCAAAAAGTAAAATAGGAGGTGCACAATGGCAATATGTAATAAAGATTCCTTGAAAGTTTCATTAAATTCCACTCAGTGGTATGAGAGGAGTTGCGGATAAGAGATGGGTACCCCAAAGCGTAACAAACAGACGGACGAACAGACATACCAATTACTATATACCCTCCCACTTTTCAAGCGGGGGGTATAAATATATGAAGTATAATATACACTTATCCACTGGCTGTGAGTGGGATAGCTCATTTATCAAACCTGCGACAGGAACTATTACGGGAATAGTTCCTGTCAATAGTTTGATGAAAGAGCTATCCCACTAACTGCCAGTGGATAAGCGTATTATTATACCCCCCGCTTGAATAACGGGAGGGTATATAGTGATCGTTAATTCCGTCCGTCCGTCCGTCTGTTACGCTTTGGGGTACCCATCTCTTATCCGCAACTTCTCTTGTACTACTGGATGAAATTTGATGAAACTTTCACAGAATCTTTATTACATATTGCCATTGTGCACCTCCCATTTTACTTTTTGATCCGACACATATTTTGGGTTTCCCATAGCAAAACATGGACACTGCCATTGATACACATATGGGAGGCGGGGGTATCATTTAGTGAGCCCATTGCTCACAGTACCTCTAGTTATACAAATGTACCTTGTTTTGTAATGTTGGAACTCTTTAATGTTGGAGGTATCGCCAACCAATCAAATGACAGGAAATGAAAATTGGCACTAAAATTTGCATGAAAATTTTCCGGGGGTGGATAGCAAAAACTTTACCCGGGGTAAAGCTTTGCTATGCGTGGAAATTTTAAACTATAGAAAAATAGTTTTTTTACCTTCTTTACATATAGGAAACATTTAATCAGAAGTATACTAAAAGCTTTTAGCACCAAATATTAAAAATGTTTGGCCAATTTTATAGATTTTTTCAAAACATTGGTCAAATTCCAAGGTCAAGATTGTTTGTACCCAAAAAGCATTGTTACAAAAAATAAGAATGTGAAACATCAAAGCTCTGACTAGCACTTTTTTTTCGGAAGAAACTAGTATGGCCAATGTCTTTTTTTTAAATAGGTCAAACATGCACTAATCCGCTTGAAAAGCGGGAAAAATATTTTATAGGATTTCTGCCTTGTCACAATAAATACACATGTGAAATCTGTTAACGCTTTGGGGTAATTTGATTTTTTAAAACGCAACTCCTCTCTTACCACTGAATGAAATTTGATGAAACTTTCACAGAATCTTTATTACATATTGCCATTGTGCATCTCCTATTTTACTTTTTGATCCGACACATATTTTGGGTTTTCCGGTCACAGCAAAACATGGACTTTGCCATTAAAACTACTAGTATATGGAGGCGGGGGGTATCATTTAGTGAGCTCATCGCTCACAGTACCTCTAGTTTTAAATAGGTCAAACATGCACTAATCTCGGGATCAAAGGGTAAAAAATATTTTATAGGAGAGGCCTTGTCACAATAAATACACATGTGAAATATGAAAACCCTGGCTTAATTTAATTTTTTAAAACGTCAAGGCTATGGTTAAAGTTGGGAACACTTTTAGTACAATTCAAAGTTAAGCTTGGACTTTCAGTAAGGCGTATTCATATAAAATAATTTTTAATGAAATTGACACAACTTTTTTTCACTGTTGAAATATAATGGGATATTAAATTTTGCAAATGTCAAATGGTACCGAATAACCAATAACATTGTTTAACGCCCCATAAATGGAGCTTACTCACATCGTTGTCAACAACATTTTAAATTTCCTGATGTTATAACCAATGAGATTCTGTTCGCCATTTGACAGGCGGTAATTACGTAGCACTGAGAATTCCACGCCTTACTGAAAATCCTAGCTTACATGTAAGTGAGAATAGTCCTACAAATATGGGTCAGACTCCTAGGTCAAAAGGTAATTAAAAGGTGTGTTTAAACCCAAATAAGGTCTTTTCATAAGAAATGCACATGTGAAACATGAAAATCATAGCTCCATGCAACCAAAAGTTAAGGGCAAGGTTAAAGGTTTTGCGGGAAAAGAAGAAGATAAACGCACACAGACAAACGGATAGGACAAAAAGCATATTATCCCGAATCTTCGATTACGGGGACATAAAAATTGAGGTTGTCAACGGCTTACTTGATGATTTATTTGTTAATTGGTGGACTTAGATGTTTTACATTTCGGGCAATGGCATATATATAGATATACATGTATCTACACGTATGAGTGAACGTTTTGAAATTTGATATTGATCCTTGTGTTCCAGCGGGCGCGGTTCCTTATGAGCATTTGTCTACAGACTGTGTGTTAAGCGGGTCGTGTATTTTTTTTTTTTTTTTTTTTTTTTTTGCGAATGCTCCAACATTAATTCCAATACAAACGACCAAAAATGCATTTACTGCTAAAATTATAGCGTTTTTAGCACACACAAATTTCAACTTCTGAAGGAATAACAGATCCTGCATAATTAAAATTATTACATTTTGCGCTAAAAATGTTATAGTATTGGCCTAGTGGTTCCAAAACAAGAAAAGAAAAAAGAAATGTGACCTTATCCTACAGTTATATGGCGAAGTTCGGAAATTAAAACTGTCATTCTATGTAGAACTGGGAGGTATTGTTTAAAATTTGTTCTTAACAAAGCTAACGGAGTGACAGTAGAATATTATATGTCAAAAACTATAAAATGCGAAGGCTTTATACAATGATTCAATGTTGTATCATCATTTTCTAGCTCACCACATCGAAGTCGGGAGAAACTTTGGTGGTAGCGTCGGCGTCCCAATCTAATTTAAAGTTTTGATGCAGTTTTCTTGAATTCTTCTCTGCCAATAAGATGTGCATTGAAGATACTTCTAGTGTGTTCAGTGTATCAGTCAAGGTTTCAGATGCTGCAAATTTTGCAAAAAAAATGACAAGGTTAATTTTCTGGTGCAGTTCAAGTTTTTGGTGCAGGTCTCTGTAAAGTAACTGTGAACCCTGAATTAACCATATTTAAACGCATGGATGATACACTACCAAGCTTGCTTCGATGCTGGGTTCGACCGGATGGATGAACAGTCAGGTTAAAGTCTTTTGAACAGGTTCATTATGAAGTAACTATGAGATATATGTTGATTAAACTTGCATGGATGATAATGTAATGATGCTCATTAATGGACTTGCTTTGGGTGCCAGATCTGACATACATTTTCCAAATAATAGACCAGGTTAAAGTTTTGGATGAAGGCCTGTTTCTAAGAAACTACGTAAGGGTTAATGTACGACGCTTTCCTTAAAAGTAATGGAGCCGAGGCCCCGAAGGGGCCGAGGCACATTTTTTAAGGAATGGAGCGCTACGCCCGCGTAAAATCCGCCTTTCCGAATGCTTGTTTTTATTGTTTGTTAATACATAATAAAGAATATTTTAATATATGATACATTGTAAATACTTTTTACATATTAGTAGTATTATTTATACATAATATAGAAAGAAAAACTAAAAAAAAAAGTGTACTGAAGTTAATCTTAACCCATGTCTCTCAACTGCTTCGTTAGCTCAGTGAAATGAGCAGCGGACTGTTATGGTGAGGGTACCGTGTTCGATTCTCGTCATGGGTGCTCTAATATTTTCTTAATGTGAAACTAACCTTTACAATTTTCTAAAACTCTTCTCTTAAATTTTCTAAGTTCTTTCCTAGGTAGAGGCACGGAAAGGAAAATAAGACCATAACAAATTCTGTTTTCAATGTTATTTGCAACTCTCCATTCCTTAAAAATAATGGAGCGCTCAAACAAAAGAATGACGTCATAGGTGGATTTTACCCTGGTATAAGGCCTATTGGAATCTGCGCATGGATGATGCATCAATTGCAATTTAAAGGATAATCACTCTCAAACTTGCTTCAGTGTTGGATTTGAATTACAATTTCTTGATGGGTGACTAGTTTGAAGTTTTGG